GAAATTACAAATATGAAAAAGCTCAACAGTGAGCAGGGAGAAAAAAAAAGTGTCCCCTTGATTGTTTAATAATTTATGAATAAAAATATAGGGAATGCTTTGGGAGAATATTAGAAATGTTGGTCAGGGACATAAATATTTATATATTATTTGCAGATAATGCAGTGTTTTTGGCTGAGAAGCCAAATATCTAAATATCCATCCAAAATAACAAGGAACTAAAGGAATATATGGTTATCAACAGATGTAAAAATGAAAATTGTGCATAAGAGAATGCCTCTACAAATTGTATTATGTTGAATGCAGATGGGATGGAAATGAGTACATAAAAATGTATGTAGTAAAACTAGAAGAGATGTAGTCATGAATCAATGGATGAATGGATGAATGAATGAATGGATGAATGGATGAATGGATGAATGGATGAATATGGACGAGCAATAGTGTAAAAATGAATGATAGTGTGAAAAAGACATTAAGGTAGTTTAGTTATATAGAGATAATAAATGAGCCAATCACAAAACAAATACAGGTAGTCCTGAACTAACAACTCTTCATTTAGTGACCATTTGAAGTTGCAACGGCACTGAAAAAGTTACAATTGACTCACACTTATGACCATTGTGGTGTCCTGGGGTCATGTCACAACCTTCTGATGAGCAAAGTCATTAGGGGAGCCAGATTCACTTAATAACTGTTTTACTAACTTGACAACTGCAGTGATTCACTTAACAAATGTGGCAAGGAAAGTCATAAAATGGGCAAAACTCATTTACAAATGTCCCACTTAGCAAGAGAAATTTGGGGCTCAACTGTGGTCATAAGTTGAGGACTACCTGTATGTGAATGAAGAATAAGCAAGCTGAGAAGAAGAGGAAAACAAGAAAGCCTTGGGTGGAGTTGATGAGAATCTCAAAAGAGAGAGGTAAGTAATACAAAGACCAAAGGCAATTTATGAATGTGATGGAAGCAAATTAATTTGCAGGTATGAAAGGGTACAATGAATAGCATTGATGTAAAGTACAGGTACACATATTTTACTTCTTTGACTTTTTTCTTTTGGTTTCCTGTTACTTTTTCCCCTGCATTTTCAATGAAATTGCTTATCCAAAAGAGTCATGGGTATACATGAAGCTCTGTAATTCCTGATCCAATAACATTAAATATGCTGGTTATTATTTACTTTCCAATGTTTCTTCATATCGGTGACTTGTTCCAGAGGTTGGGCACTTGGTTTATCCAAGATAGTCTGCTTTATAACTGATGCCCGGAAAGGCTCCATTAAATTATTTCTGCTTTGTTTGTGGAAGACTGGCAGTCACCTTTGCAGGATTTCTGAAAGAAATGCGCCACCTGCTGGCTTTCTAGTGTAGTTTTCAACTTCAAATTCCGTATACTTGCGGAAGCTAGCAAATTTCCTTTCCTCAGAGTTTCCAATTCATAATGAAATATCTGAAAAAAGGAAGATAAAAGATAGAAAGCAGGAGAGTTTAACAATGAGAAGAACTTTACTCATTTGGTGGGACTAATTTAGTGAACACTCCTGGACTAATGGGATGTGCGACTGTCCCCAAGTAAGGAAATAAAACATTTTCTATCACACGAGGGCGCTATTTCCAAAGACTTTAAGTCATATCACATGTGCATAAAACTGGAAGGTATTTGAAAAGGACATTATTAAATTGATTTCCAGCAGGATTATTTATTTTCTTCATAATACTTGGCATTGGGCATATTGAAGGCAAGATATAATCTCTGGCTTAGCCTGATCAAGAAAAGAAAGATGGGAGAAATTTAGAAAATTTTGCATAAAGCGAAAGTCATAATATGTATTTTATTTTTAAGGTGTCTAGTGAACTTTTATTTCTCTTCAGTTGCAATTCAGTATCTTTACCCACTACTTCTTATTAACAAAGATATTGGTTTCCTTTTATGTAGGATCTATCATTCAGAGAAAAAATTGTGCACCAAATATAGTTCTATTTTTCAAATATGTTCTTTATTGGCCATGGCTGACAAGCAGCTACAGGCTGAAAAGTTCCTGAAACCCCTGAGAATGAGGTTTTTCAGTATTGATGCAAATTTGTTGCAGCTGGAAACATATTTGTGTGTGTATTTGTCTCTAACGTCACCATCTCAGTGCTTGAAGAGCAGAAAAAGGGGGCAGTGATAATGGAACAACTTTCAGAGGGTTGGTCAACCAACACAGATGAACATATATCAGTGAAAAATAATATTGCCAGCATTTGGAAGTTGGACTGTCATGGATATCACAGTGGAAAGACGTGATAGCATTAGATTTGATTAGTGATAACTTAATACAATGGATAAAGGAGATAAAGGTATAATCTTAAGGACAGGGCAGATAAAATTCAGAGACAAGGCAAAGATTTCTTCAACATTTAGAAAAACACTTATGTTTCATCCTGTTTCCTATAAAACCCTAAATTGGTAGAACAGTTGCCAACTTCTGAAATGAAAACAATAACAACAGTGGTGTATGTGGGAAAGATATAAGGATATATTCATATCAGATCCAGGGTAGAAAAAACATTGGGCTGGGGGTTAATTCCAGTGCACAGCTGTCCATTTCGTTGAAAGAACTTTGTCTGCTTACTAAAAATGTTGGGAATTGTACTTCAGCATATCTGGAAAATGTAGGTTAGGAATGCTCTTCTAAAATGTCCAACCAGCTAGAAAAGAAAACAATCTAGTTTGCAACTTTTCCCCATATAGCTTAATAATAACAAATAACTTAATAGCAAATTGCATTACTTACATTAATAACAATAACTAATAACTTAATAGTCCAAATGCATTAATTACTTTAATGCTCTGTCATTCATTCATTCATTCATTCATTCATTCATTCATTCATTCATTCATTCATTCATTCATTCAATTCACTCTCATATTCAAGCATGCAGACTAGTACAGCAATAGCTTTAAACAGCATATCTGTAAGATTTGTAAGGTGTTTTTTCCCCATTTCAGACCCATTCTTTCATAATATGATTTCAAGTATGTTATTGGCGAGAGGTACTCTCTTACGTTTTTCAAGCTTTTTTTCTGTTTGTAAATTGTAAAACATTTGCGATTCCTTCCTCCCCTGAAATATTTTCAGTATGTGGAGATCATGGTTCTGTGAAAAATATATGTTCTAATTTAGAAGTTCTGCACTGATAGATATATACTGTGTAAACACACTGTTTGGCTAGTTTATGTAAACTAGGCCATTTTCATCTTCACTCCACTCTTTTTAATCCCAAGAAATAGAGTTACATACTGGCTTATCATACTGTGTCCAAAGCAGGCAAACTACATTTTGATCTTTCTTACTCTGGAATAAAGAGAACCTCACTCTGCTAGCCTCTCTGAAACAGGATAAGATTCAACCCTATTCTACAGACAATTCCATCAAATTCTTTTATAGTGGGTGTTCAGCCTTCTCAGAGGCTGAGTTTGAGACATTTGTGGATTTGAGTGACTCAGGCGCATCACATATGGGTTTCTGTAATATAATAGAGTTGGGTAATGTCTATTTTAGTTGTGTGGGATTTAGTTATTCTGTACCAACTATTTTGCACCAATCTTTGAGAAGTCTTGTAAGAGTATAAACATAAGCAAAGATCCCATATCATTTCCCCAACTCCATTTATGCTTTTTTTTCCCTATATTCCATTCCATTCACTTCGGAATCATACTATATACTCAATTCATATGTGCAATTGCACAGTGTTGACAGAGTGGTCATGTAGTCCAGAACTACTAAACTGATTTTGGTGAAATAGTTCTCATAATAAGTGACTGTGATAGGTGACTGTGATTATTCAGGTAATCCTATTTCTCTCCCCTAACCCTAGGTCTGAAGCAACAGCAAAGCACTCCAAGATTTCGCCACATGTGAGAACTGGCTTTAAACTTTATGGTTCATACATAAGTTTGAAGTAAATAAGAAATAGTTATGGTGCAACTAAAATTCCGATCAATGTGAGACTCATGAAAAATTCACAAACAACTAAAACTATAGCTAGGTTTTTGTGGCAACTTGGCCAGGTTCACACAAAATAAGCCATAAAGAAAGAAACAGCAAAGCAAAAATATGGACCAATGTTAATCCTCCTACAGTGCTATTATTGAGTGTCCCTCCAATTCTGAAGTATTTGAAATCCAGATTACCATTAATCATGTGGCCATAAGTGGAGTTTCTTATATTTTGGTTTAGAACAGTTTTCATTTATAGAGGGAAGTATATATATTTGGTGGGACTCAATCCCTTTTATATGATAATCAATCATTGATTCATGATAATTAATTGATTAATTAATTGATCAAATTTATATAGCCACCCATCTCACTGAAAGTGATTCTGTGTGGTACACAGCAGTTCATTTCAAATAAACTTGTATTTTTATTTGAAGATTTGACAATAATCTTATTGCATATCTTTGACAAAGTGACAAAATTAGTGGACCAGCAAAATGCTGTGGTATAATTTACTTGGACTATAGTAATGCATTTGATAAAGTAGCCACAACCTATTAGTTAATAAGATAGAAAAAAGTGGGTTAGGCATCATAATCATCAGGTGGCCTCTTGGTTGATCAACCACACTCAACATTTAGTCCTTAATAGTACTGCACGTACATGGAGGGAGGTATGCAGTGGGATACCCAAAAGTCTGTCTTAGGCCAAGTGTTCTTCAATATTGTCATCATTTATGAGTGGATAGAAGGGGAACTCATCAAATTTGCAGATGACACCATCTGGCAGGAATAGTCAACATTCCAGAAGATAGGCCCAAGGGACAGAAGGATCTTGACAGACTTAAACACTGGGCCCTATCTAAAAAATAAAATTCAGTGGTGAGAAAAGTAAAGTTCTACATTTAGGTAAGAAAAAATAAATGCACAGATATAAAATAGGTGGTCTCTGTTATAGCAGTAATAGTAGTAACTGCAAGAGTCCTAGTGGCTTCAACAAGAGCTGCAGTGTGCCAAAAAACCCAATGCATTCCTAGGCTGCATTAACAGAGGGATAGAATCATGATCACACGAAGTGTTAATGCCACCTAATAATGTCTTGGTAAGGCCACACTTGAAATATTGTATCCAGTTTTGATTGCCACAATATTAAAAAAGATGTTGAGACTCTAGAAGGAATACAACAAAGATGGCTAGAGGACTAAAGGCTAAAACATACAAAGAATGATTGCAGGAATAGTGCATGTCTAGTTTAATGAAGAGAAGAACTAGGGGTGACAGGATAGTTGTGTTACAAAGCACTTGAAGGCAGAACAAGGAGCAATGGATGGAGACTAATCAAAGAGATAACTAACCTACAACTGAGAAGAAATTTCTTGATAGTTAGAAATCAGTGGAATGACTTGCCTCTAGAAACTGTGGGTGCTCCAACACTGAAGGTAGAGGCTAATATTTGCTCCTTCATGCACAGGGGATTGGACTAGATGACCTCCAAGGTCCCTTCCAACTCTGTTATTCTATGTACTCTATGAAGTTTCTAAATAAAAGATTAGACAAATAGTTGTCTGAAATGGTATAGGGTTCCTAAAGCCTTGAGCATTGACCAGGGGGTAAGACTAGATCATCATATTTAAATGTCTGTTGGCTGAATTAGACTAGAACTACTACATGCAGGCTGAAAAAATCCAGCAAACATTAGATGGTGGCAAATAATGCAAATGTTTGTATTTCTCACTGCCTTTTAGTGGCCGTCTGGATTTTTGTCTCCAAAATTTGATAGGTGTAAACTAGGGAAGATGCCAGTTGAGATGAAATGTAAAGGTGCAAACATCTGATTTTCAAAGATATCTATTTCAGTCTGGAGTCTCTGGCAAAAGGCAAAAACTCTAAAGCTAAAAAAGAAAAGAAAGAGGAAGAGCGAAAGGATAGGGATTAGTCCTGTCCCTTTAGCATCGGCAGGAAACAAAATTTCAAGAGGATTGTTTAGCAAGCTATAATTAATGACATTTCCTCTCCCCCTCTTCACACAATATTTTATAATGAAGAATGAAGTTGTGTCCTCCTTTTGATCTTGCTGTCCTGAACAAAAATATTATGAAGTTTCACAGAGCTTTATTCTGGAATTTATTTTTAGTGCCAAAACCAACTCCTGGAGCTGGCCAAGAACTAATTATAAGGATGCTCTTGAAGATATTCAGGGTGGCTTTATGGTACCAGGTAACCAAAATCAACCCAGAAAGATCTAAAATTAATATTCAGCACATAGAGAATGTTCAATTGTGTATTTTATTAATAGGAAATATTTTTCTATTCTCTAAAAGCCTAATTGTACCTTTAAAATTTTGCAGGATAACAATAGTCTTGAAAGGTGTTCTCAGGTTTCAAGCTTCTCTTCCCATAATTTCAAGCAGAAAAGGACTGGGTTCATGAATCATACTAAGTTACCATATGGTTGCTTGTTTGTGACTTAACATGATGTATAAACCAGACTTTGTGGTTTGTAAGCTATGATCTATGGCTTAATGAAAAGATATCCAATTCTGGCTGATGAACATATCTGGAATTTTAAGAGCATGCTGCAGGCAATCTTTTCCTCTGGTGGGTGTGTTGAATGATCTCCATGGGGAGTTTTAATCTGCTACAAAACAGGCCAGATCAGTACACAGTTGTGCTACGGTGGGGACACATGAAGAAAATACTGCCTCCCAACAATTTCAGTATTGCTTTTCCCTATCCCCCAGTTGCAGGATGCTCTAGTTTTTATCAGGAGGTTGGCTTAACTTTCTAATGAAGAACTGAAACCACCTCTAAACTAGATTATGGGGGTTATTTAGAACCAGAGACATTCATGGAAATAAACAATACTGGTACCTAACATTTTGTTTTTGCAGCACCCCTGTGTCCCATTTTTAAAAAATGCAAGAATTGAGCTGGGACAAATCACTAGGCAGAGCTAAACTAGATGTCTGCAGGTAATTGGTATTGCTAAATGAGTTATATAAATGTGATTTGGTCACTGAATGCCAGTTAAACAGATATCACATTGCTTAACGTGATATTTGAACTCAGCCCAAAAGTGATCAGGTGACAATCCTACTTTTCCTAATCTGATGTCATTCAGAGGTGATGCAATAACCGTTTCCAAAATGTTCAGCCAATACAGTCAATGGAAGGGACATACTTGATAAAGACCGACTATAATTGTAGGCAATGATGTTCTTGGGCTTACAATAAAAGGAAGGAAGGAAGGAAGGAAGGAAGGAAGGAAGGAAGGAAGGAAGGACTGACTGAAGGACTGACTACTGAGACTGCTATTTATCTAATTTATTTTCTCCACTAGTTCTCAACCTGTGAGGTGAGAGACAAACCAAAGTAAATATTTTTTTAGTGTCCCTCTTAGGTATCTTTAGATATTGTGGCAATGTGGCATACACATGCTAGGACTGTCTATCCTCCCCTCCTTCTCTTGGAATGCCTATATAGTAGAGGGAACCTGTGCATCTTTCTGCAAGGAATGTGGAGAAGTTCCAGACACATTTTTGAGCATATTCCAAAACCTCACATTTTGGGGTGTGACTTTCTGCTCAAGCAAGGAAATGCAAAAGGGTGAGAGAAATGTGTATCTACTTTTCCTTGTTTCTAGTGAATCACAAAAGAAATGCATTTGGTATAAAAGCAGGTAACGGACATCCCCCTAAGTTTCTGAAAAGGAAACAATTAGACAATTCATGAAACATGCAGTGCAGTCTTTCAGCTGGAACTTCCAAAGTCAAAGGCAGAATATCTCAGCTTTCTATTGCTGAAGGGAACAGAGGATAACCTCACCTAGGAGGGATGGCTGAAAAGCAGAGCCCTGGATGAGTTGTGCTTTTTGTACCACATGCTGTAGTACATGTAACAAAAGAGTTTGTGAGAAATCTACTGGGGAAGTGCCCTCACTCATAATTTACTAAAGTAACAAGGGAAGCATGGTGGAAGGGCTGTTGCTGTTTTCCATTCCTAGCACAGGTTTCAGTCTTTGCAGCTGCGGCAGGCTCTTTGTGCTTCCTTCCTCAGGGCAAATAAGGTCTTTTCTCGGCTCTAGGGCAAGCTGCCTCAGTTATGTGGCTGCTGTGCTGTTCCTTCTCTGCTTCTCCCTAGAGCAGGGAGGTGTGGCCAGAGAGTGGTATAAAGTCCAAAGAATGAGCTTCTCCCCCCTTCAGTACAGAGTCCCCCTCGCTGGAGATCAGGCAGTCTGCTCTGGCAGCAAGACTATTCTTTGCAGCCTTTGCTTCTTGGCCCTTTACTCTCCAGGACTGTAGACTGCCTACCATGCCCTCCCATGGGGTGTCTGTTGCCCTGCTGCTTCTAGCCCAGGTGGGCTTTTCTGTGAGCCTTGAGGCTATCCAGTGCCCTCCATGCTCTGAGGAGAAGCTGGCACGCTGCAGGACACCCTCTGGATGCGAGGAGCTGGTGCAGGAACCAGGCTGTGGATGTTGTGCCACGTGCGCCTTAACAAAAGGGATGCTCTGCGGGGTGTACACATCTCGCTGTGGTTCAGGGCTGCGGTGTTACCCACCGCGGGGAATGGAAAAGCCCTTGCACACACTCATGCATGGCCAAGGTGTTTGCATGGACCTGTCTGAAGTCGAGGCAATCCAAGAGAGCATGCAGTCAACAGGTAAGGTGCCATCAGGTTATTGGACCCTTAAGGCTAGAAGACATCATTTGTGGGATGCATTTTTTGTTGGGAAGGGTTTATAGGTCTATTCCATGGGAGAGGGACAAAAGATTGATTTTGGGCTATGTTAGATGATTTGAGCACACAGGATTTAAGTTGCTGATGCTGCCCACATCTACATCTCTTGACCAATGCCTGGAAGGAAATTGGCATCAAATCTGCATTCAGTATGTGTGGCTTAGATGGGATTAAGTGCTCTGTAATCTCTCAGGGAAATCCAGCAGAACTGTGTGTTGTATTTATGGCTAGTTATATGTTAATTTAGCTCATGGTACAATGGCATGTTCTTAGTGGTAATCCTAAAATGACTAGTTTCAAAGAGCAAAAGGCTGGCAAAGAACATCACTGAAGGGAGGGAGGATTTTGGTGTAATTATTTACTGATAGTAGTAAGGCAACACTGTTAGCAAGGCAATTATTACTATTAATGATGTGACATATATCAGGGTTGTAACAAGAAAGAAATCTGCAGAGAAATGATCCTGTGTGAATCCGGTCTCACCTTGTCCAACTCCTGGTCAGGAAGGAAGCCAAACACTTGGTGATACCCTAAGGAGACTGGAGAAATATCTTTCCTACCTGGTTGTTCTGGCTTCTATTGCTGAATAGGATTGAAAGATGACCCATTTTTAAATAATTACTTCAAGCTAAAAAATCAATAAGAACCCTCCCCCCTCTCACATTTTACTCATATCACCAGAAGGTTTCTATTGGATAAGCAGAATAGCAAAAAGAGAATTGGAAATTGGGGGAGCATAGCAGCATTCATATGCTGAATTTAAAAAAAGGCTGTTAAGAGTTCCTCTGGATAATATGCCCACCTTGTGATTTCAAATTTTTGTATTACCTGTCTTGAAGTGGGAAATGATACAAGCAGTGGGAGGAAGAGCGGGTGGGAGAAAAATGTGCTCCCTGCTTGTTGCACTGGAGAAATTTTTGAAAGCCACGTGTATCTATTTCGCCTTTTTATATATCATGCTGTCAGGCGGGCTATTCTTTGCAGCCTTGGCTTCTCGGCCCTTCATTCTCCAGGACCTCCAGAACACAAACAGTGTTTTCCCCCATGTACAAATATTCAAGAGAGATTAAGGATGAAGATTTTTAAAAATTATCTTCAAAACTTTCTTGGTAGAATTTGGCTCTTAGGAAAAAAAAAAACCCTGTTAACAGAAGGAGCAAGGCTGATCAAACCACCACTTCTCTTTGTAGAAGATATGAAGATTTTTCACTATGGAGCTAAACATGGTTTCTTCTTTATATGAACCTGATACTTTCGTATCAATGATAAGAAAGTGGACAATAATACAGTCCAAATGGTAAAATCACTAATCAATACATTATCTATATGACTATCGGGGAAATAAATTCAAATAAATTGAATGAGCTTAATCTTAAAATAGAGGGAGTAAGACTCTATTCTGAATGATATATTAAAAGAGTAAAAGATATATTAAAAGTCTTTTCTTCTATATGCATTCTCAAGTGTGGAAATACATATGAAATGGTATATTTATCTTACACAACACACACACACACACAATCAGTACTGTTATTTTGTATTCCATAGTAATGTGCAATAATTATTGCTCATTAGGTCTTCTTGCCCTAGAGGAAGTTCATACCCTCAGATCACTCAAAAAGCGTATAATGGATGGCTAAGTGTTATTTCCGGTTTAAAGTTCTTAATGGTAAAAAGCAGCAGAGTTTTTCAAGCTTACAAAGGCATAATTAATACCCATTAAATGATAATACATGTACATTAGATTTATATTCATACTTCCCTTTGAATTAAATAAATCCATAATAATAACTATTTCTTCTCTAGACTTGTCCCAAACCACTAAACCATATCATTGCTTCTGCTGTAGTTACAAACATTCATTTAAAATAGCAAAGTACACATCTTTTAATTCTTTGTTAATGGTTTGTCAAGGATTTCCTCGCCTTCTTTTTGTATCATTCAGCTACATGGAATAGATGAACATCGACTCCTGTGATGATATTTCACCCATCATTACATTTCCTGGCTAGTAGAGGTTTGATATCTTCTGGAATTTCTCCATGTAGAGTTACAATGGAAGACATTGAAGTGATGTCTGAAAAAATAAATTGGATTTTTTTCATCAACCTTCATGTTAAGGATGAAGGGTTTTTTTCACATTAATTATACATTTTTTCACATTGATTAATTACATTAAGTATAGGCTTGTAGTAGGAGACACTTTTTGTGGACAAGGACAATGCAGAATTCATGATCACAAAGAGCTGACCAGGTGTGTAAGTTTCTCTCATGCATTTGTTCATCTGATCAGCTCAGATTTAATAATCTCTTATTTAATCATGCTTAATCATACAAGTGCATACATCTACAAAATAGAATAAATAGAATAAAGCTATGCAGAAGTGCCTCCATGCTACTGGAATGGCATGCAAAGAGTTATAAGAAGCTTATTTCATCTATTTTATATGACTTTTAAAAATATGTCATTTGTTATTATGAGGAACTCATGAGATGTTGTTCTAACTGAATTATTCTGAAACAAGGGAGAATGAATTGTACATATGCAATAGATCTCTGAAAGCAAAGACAGAACTAATATTAAAATCAGGACCAGAATGTGTGTGCTGTTATGTACAAGGGAGAAAATAGAGTAAAAGTTACAGTATATGATCAGAAAAAAATAGCCTTCAATTGACAATCTTGATATGAATAGATTCACATGCTAGGGCAAGCAATAAACACATGGTGAAATAATAATAAAAATTGATATTTACTTAGTATTTACTAAGTTAATCAGAGAAAGGCATGGCTATTCTGTTTTTATAATCAAGGGATTTAGAAGATGCAAATTGCTTATACAGCTTGGAAAACCTTTCCTTTTTAAATAACTACCAAATATACAGGTAGCCAAAACGTTACAAAAAAGGGGGAAGCTGAAATCTTCATTGGCAGCATCTTAATCTAAAGTTTGTGGGAAAGCGTAATAATTCAGATTAAATTTTCTATTTCTGTGGTGGTCTAAGATTGCATTCTGTTGCCCTAAGGTTACTGGGCTATAGAAACTTGCAAGCAATGGTAAGACTTTCATTTCTGAAAATATAAGAACTAAGTATCTTCAAACCCATCTTCATCTTTGGAAAAACCCATGGATTTTTTTGAGGTAGAAAATAGATGTAGATCTAGGATCAACTTCCTTGTAAACTAAACATTAAACATAAAATTGGCAACACACATTTAAAAAAATGCCTGCAGTAAAATTAATACAGCTTAAAAATACAGTCTTGTAACATACCAAATGTAATCACCAATTGTGATTCTCAATGACAATAGCTAAATTAAGTATGTTCAGGCCCTCAGTTAAGATTAAAATCAATCTAGTTTCCCCAAATATGGGCAAAAGTAGTTGCCATTAATAAAGGTTTTGTGGCAATTATCCCAGTTTATGATCTTCTAGATACAGTATATTGGGAATGCAGTCCACCCAAATTTCCCATCAGCAAAATGGTGGAAAATATGCGGAGGGTTTTTTTTTTTTCCTAATTCCCTGACATCTGGGAATTACTAAGATAGAGAAGACTTTTTGACAGTCAGAGAATGCACACAACTATAATAAACAATATCTGAAGCCAATCATTGCATGAAGATCTGCTGGTGTTCTGAGATTTTTTTTATTAAAAAAATCAGAACTACGATAAACTTAATATAGAATGTCCATGTAAATGTCTCATCTATGAGGAAGATGGGCAGTTTTTAAAAATGATATAATAAATAAATATATAAATAAATAAATGTCACAGGCTTCCTATAGTTCAAATAACTGGTCAAAGCACTCTGAACTAGAATGGTACCTAGTTTTTTTTTAAATTAAGTATGTTTAAATTAATATCTTTCTGTTCATCCTTCTAATAGAGTTCTTTTAGATTCTTCTCTTCTCGCTCCTGGTGAATTGCACACAATTATTTAGCTATTTGTTTTAAAGAGAGCAGAATCTCCTTTTTGGAATTTTTGTTTTGAATCATGACATCCTGAAGCATTCTATCCTGGAAGTTGCTACAGGAAACTGACTTTCCTGCTCAAATAGGTTGGGGAGATTAGACATCTGGGAAACAGCTGGATCATCAGAGGAATATCCTTTTTTGAAACTTGAGCAAAGGCTTCCTCCGTAACTTGATAGAAACAGTTTCCCAAACACTAGGTATGTCTAAGATATTTATACTGTATTGCACTTGTAAAAATAATATGCAGCACTTTGTTGTTGTTGCTATGATCGTTTGGAAAATCTATGAATATTCTGCTGTTTAAGGAACAAACATAATGGTATCTATTCAGTTTCACTAAGGTAAGATTAAATGTACAGTTTGGCTGCTGGAATTAATATATGTCATATAATATATGTCTATAATAGGCACGAACTGGAACTGTGACTAAATTCTGAAAAATGTAGTACAGGACTGGGCAAATTGTTGGTATGTGGGTGTTCTACACATCAGATATTAGAAGACTATAATGGAAATTTGATATTACAAAGTAGAATGAGTGTACATTATATAAAATACATCGGCAGGTCTAGAAGAGTAATTTCTTCCTGCTTTCTGAATATAGTTGAAGTTTATTTTGGTTTTAAAAATAGTGCTAAGTCTGACTGGTTATGATTACCAAATATCCAGCAAAAGGAGGACATGTCTTCCTTTTTAATCTGATGTCCTTCACCCAGAAGGCATAGCCTTAAAATTAAATATTGCCTGCTCTTTGGAGTATCTGTAAGTATCTTTTCCCGAGTAGCTTTTGCTATGCTAATAAGTGCTAATTGCAAGATAACAAGCTCTAGTTGATTAGTGCTTCTCACTTATGCAGTGATCACAATACAATAGAATTCTTTATTGGCTAAGTGTGATTGGACCAGAGGTGGTATTCAGCAGGTTCTGACCAGTTCTGGAGTA